CTCTATCCTGACTTGTCTTCCAGTTCCCGCTGCTGAAAAACATCCCCACAGCATGATGCTGCCACCAACATGCTTGACTGTAGGGATGGTATTAGCCTGGTGATGAGCGCTGCCTGGTTTTCTCCAGACGTAACCCCTGGCATTCACTCCAAACAGTTAAATTTTAGTCTCATCAGACCAGAGAATTTAGTTTCTTATGGTCTGAGACTCTTTCAGATGCCTTTAGGCAAATTCCAGGTGGGGAGTGGCTTCTATCTGGCCACTCTACCATACAGACCTGATTTGTGGATTGCTGCACAGATGGTTGTCCTTCTGTAAGGTTCTTCACTCTCCACAGAAGAATGCTGGTGCTCAGACAGAGTGACCATCAGGTTATTGATCTCCTCCCTGACTAAGGCCTTTCTTGCCTGAATATTCAGCTTAGATGGCCGGCCAGCTCTCGGAAGAGTCCTGGTGGTTTCTGTGCTCATTGGAACTTTCAGAAGACATTTTTTTTCTGTTACCTTCCAGCCTGTCCTTGGGAGATCACAACTGCTGTAAGCATTTGTATGTGAAGAACAGGGGCTATGGCATCTGGGAGATCATAACAGGTTTATAAGCGAAGACCAGGGGTTGGCGAGCACCCCATTGCCAAACCACCCAAATTTTCACTACCCGCCTATGTCATTTTTTTTCCCGCAAAATCAAATTCAAAATTGCCCAATCTGGCAACACTGTTTGTGGCCAGTTTTCACGAATCCACCAAAGGCTGCTGTGTATGCTTTTTCAGATCTCAAATTTTACTCATGAGTGCCATTCGCACCTGCTGTTCTCATGTAAATCCACCAGAGGCTGCTGTTGATTGACTGACTGACTGACTGAGTGATTGACTGACCAACCCTCCTCCTTAACTAAACCCAACCAATAGTGTATTCAAAAGCATTGATTGACCCATTCACCCACTTCCCTAAACCCAACTGACAGTTTTAAATCCAGAAAAATAAAAAGCCATCACTTGACTTTTAAAACGTTTTCGGATTTTACTACATTCTTACCCTGCTATTTACTTGTTTATTTAATTTTTTGGCTTCTGTTTTTGTCTTGTTTTTTTGCAGGAATCGAACCCCGGTGTCATGGTCAACTCCTCTCTGCTTCTTAAGTCCATCAATGTGCTACTGGATGAACTGGTAACAGCAGGAAAGCTGTCTATACAGAGGTAAGCAGTCAGCTGGTAAGCATGAAAAGGAACTGTGTCATACCGCCTTGTAGCATTCGTTTTAAAAATGTGTACTTATGTACTTATGGCTACATAATTCAGAAGGGCTACGTTTTCAGAATGAGCCTAAGTTGGTAAGTTCTGCTGAAACTTGGGTATTTAGATGTACAAAAATAGGTTCTAATTTACAAAAGTTAGACATTTCAAACCAACTTTAAAACTATCTTTATAAAACTAAACCCCTTGTGACAACTTCCCCAAAAAGCCCCACACCGCAGTTTTGCATGAGGTCACAGTTCCTTCTATAGGATGTCTTATGGGAACCTTTTCCATTGGTCTCTAATAAAGTGTATTTACGGTCCATTCATCTTTCACTGCAACTCTACAGCCTTAAATGCAATGCATGCGACAGGTCGGCTGCATCTGGGGGACCGAGACAGACAGATTTAGACCCTCCAGGAGACCAGAAGGCGAAACACAGCAGAACATGACTGACAGGCGTGTGAAAGCATGACTCGGCCGTCCTAACACAAATGCCTGTAATAGCTCACGGCAGGACCTCTCCGGCTGGAACGCACACGGACACACCTCCCCTGCTAATTCCTCTCACTTCCTGTTCTCACCAGCCACCTCTAATTCCCACAGTCCTCCTCTCTCCCTTCAGCCGCCTTCATTTTACTATTGGTTAATTTATCACGAGAGCCAGACTCCGTGGCAGTATATCAGGTCGGGGAGAGTTACAGCTCAGACTCGGAGGTGAGATTTCCCAAAGGAAAGATTTCAGTGACACCCGGCTCTACTTTCCCCCGCTCTTCATTACTGCGAGTGTACACTTGGCTAGCGCCGCGGGCTATGGGGGGCAGACTGCACTATAAGATAAGGGAGCCCGATGCCGGCTCTGTTGCTGCGGATGTCTGCTGTCACTCTGATACCAGCAGCGGTCTTCTGGGAGCTGTGTGTCATTACAGATGCAGTGTTGTGTAATTAGGTAAGGAAGAGGTACAATCTCTCTCCACTTATAAGATTGGATAGCACCAGGAAAAAAATGAGGGAGAGGAAAAGCAGACTTGCTTGTAAAGCAGAAAAGGTACAGGTTGTTCTTACTTTGTATAACCCAGAGCACTAGCCTCAGCAGCACTATGTATTAGTAATCAAAGGAAGTTAAGTCAGCACGCTGCATGAAAACCGCCGCTCTTATTTATGCACCAATCAAAGTGATTGACAGGTGTGACGTGTCAATCTGAAAACTACAAAATGGCTGTTCACACTGCTGAGAATGATAATTATATTAGTGTCCACACCATTGCGCAATGAGATTCTGTATATTGTGAGCATGTGGTGCAGTTTTGTCTTCTGCTGCTTTAAATGCTCAGGCTTTTCAAAGGTGCTAGTTTCTGATTGGCTGTCATTGTGTTCATCACACAGGAGCAGGCAAAATGGTTTCCCAACAACATAATTAATTTGCTTCCTTTGTCATAGCTGTGCAGTGGATTGTCTTATTCTCATAAAATAAAATGGTTATTCAATCTTTAAAAAATTATAATTATTAATCGATTGGCTAATTGATTGACTTGACTGATTGCTTGGCAGATTGATTAATTGGTTAATTACATATCTGATTGGCTAATTAATTGGATGATTGATTGATTGATTAATTGATTGATTGATTGATTAAACGGTGATTGTCTAACTAATATATTGATTGATTGATTGATTAATTGACTGAACGACTGACTAATACATTAATTACTTGATTGATTAGTTGATTGATTGGTTACTTGATTGATTAATTCCCTGATTGATTAATTTGTTGATTGTCTGACTGACAGATTAATTGTTTGATTAATTGACTGAGTAAATGACTAATTGATTAATTAGTTAATTGATTGGCTGATTAATTCACTGATTGAATGGCTGACTGATTGGTTGACTGATTAATTGTCTGATTGATTGGCTGATTGATTAATAAATTGATTGGCTGATTGATTGATTGATTAGATGATTGATTTGTTGATTGTCTGACTGATTGATTAATTTGTTTGATTGATTGACTGACTGACTGTTTAATTGATTGATTAGTTAATTGATTGGCTGGTTGATTGATTATTTTTTTAAATTGATTGGTTAACCAATTGATTTACTGATTAATTGATTGATTAGTTAATTGATTGGCTGATTGATTGACTGACTGATTGATTAATGTATTGATTTGCTGATTGATTCACTGATTGAATGGCTGACCGATTGACCACTGTGCCATTTTTTTTAACACAATATATGACCCTGAACCACCAACTAACAGTTTTTAAATCATTTAAAATCACAATAAAAAAAAATACGTTGATGTATGGTTTGTTGTGATATATTTAGCTGAATTATAACTATTTGAAAATCTGGAATCTGAGGATTAAAAAAATCTAAATGTTGAGAAAAGCTCCTTTAAAATTTGTCCTACAAATCAAAAATTAAGTATTGATTTTTGATTTTGAGTCTTGAGACGTTCAAAGTCCAGAAATTAAACAAAAAACCTTCAAGTGACTCCGGTGGTTCATCTGTATTTATAAAATGTTCCAAAAACACTTTTCTTGATACCATTCCAGTGAATAGAGGATGACAGAGCCCCTGAATTCCATCTAAAATATCTTAATTTGTGTTCAGAAGATGAACAAAGGTCTCTGGAGATTGAAATGGCATGAGGGTGTGTAATTAACTAATCGTTGGTTGACGAACCAGGAAGGCTTGCGGTGGGTTCCCAATAAATGATAATCTCAGAAAAACTTCACAATGATGCCACTACTTGCTGATATAAAGTTCAACGTGATGGATTATTTACAGTGCAAGAGACTGAAAAACAACAATAACCCAAAACCCAGCAAAGTAACAAAATATCCAACAATAAAAAAAACATATATGCATGTCATGATTTTGTCAACTATGATGCGGTCCTGGATTAACGTCTATGTTGATCCTGGATCATCATTTTTGTTGGAAAATGTAATTCATACCTATTCCCTTCCCCTAAACCCAACCATAACTGTAAATTATTCTCAAAATCAGAGGGGAATAATAGTTGAATAACAATCATGTAAAAGTGCAAAAACCTAACCTTAAGCCTAAATTTACCAGAAAATGTATCCCTTAATTCTGATTGGTTGACTGAAATGTTGTGCCGTGTCCTACTTGGTGAAATCAGGCCCCTTCAAACAAATTGACATTAAAATTTAAAGGGATGTATATACATCTGCTCAGGTTTACATTCATTGTTAAAAACAGATACTGTAAACCCAGGCTAATTCTGAAGATCGCCAAATACATCTAAGGAGGTATTTTAATTTTTTTTATTGTTGTTTTCGCGAATCCATGAGAGGCAGCAGTGTACGCTGAGATCTCAAATATCTCTTGCGAGTGCCATTTGTGCCTGCTATTTTCGTGTAAATCCACCAGAGGCCGCTTTTGACTGACTGACTGAACCGTTCTACACCAGACTCAAACCCCATCATCTTGATCAACTCCTCTCTGCATCTCAAGTTCGGCGACAAACTTGGCGAGCAACTGGACAAACTCGTAACAGCAGGAAAGCCATCCATATGCGTGAAAAGGAACGACGTCATACTGCACGGTATCGTTCATTTTACTTTTATAATTGTTTTTGTTCTAGCTACATAATTTGCGATCTCCAGAGACGTGTATAGGGCTACGTTTTCATAATGAGCCTATGTTGCACAGTGTACACACAAAAACAATCATAACATTTTCACAATCATGAATTTTATGTATAAATAAATAATTATTGGAATGAAATGGAATGAGGGAGACTGATTAAACAATCCTTTAAAACGTATCATTACAGCTATATTTCTTGGTGTGAATAGTCTCAGTGCACTTAAACAGTGGAATTATTACAACACTAATGGGGAATAATTAAATAAGTTGTTTTTGTCTTCTGTTTTCTTCTTACTCCCTTTCTGGAACCGTTCTTCACCAGACTCAAACCCCATCATCGTGATCAACTCCTCTCTGCATCTCAAGTTTGCCGACAAACATGGCAAACAAACTCTTTACAGCAGGAAAGCCAGAGAGGTAAGCGGTCAGCTGGTATACGTAAAAAGGAACAACGTCATACCGCCCGGTATCGTTCATTTTACTTTTATATTTGTTTTACTTCGAGCTACATAATTTGCGATCTCCAGAGACGTGTATAGAGCTACGTTTTCATAAATAGCCTATGTTGCACAGTGTACACACAAAAACAATCATAACATTTTCACAATCATGAATTTTATATATAAATAAATAATGATTGGAATGAAATGGAATGAGGAAGACTGATTAAACAATCCTTTAAAACGCATCATTACAGCTATATTTCTTGGTGTGAATAGTCTCAGTGCACTTAAACAGTGGAATTATTACAACATTAATGGGGAATAATTAAATAAGTTGTTTTTGTCTTCTGTTTTCTTCTTACTCCCTTTCTGGAACCGTTCTTTACCAGACTCAAACTCCTTCATCATGATCAACTCCTCTCTGCATCTCAAGTTCACAGACAAACATGGCAAACAAACTCTTTACAGCAGGAAAGCCAGAAAGGTAAGCAGTCAGCTGGTTTGCGTGAAAAGGAACAACGTCATGCCGCCCGGTATCGTTTATTTAACTTTTATATTTGTTTTACTTCTAGCTACATAATTTGCGATCTCCAGAGACGTGTATAGGGCTACGTTTTCATAATGAGCCTATGTTGCACAGTGTACACACAAAAACAATCATAACATTTTCACAATCATGAGTTTTATATATAAATAAATAATGATTGGAATGAAATGGAATGAGGGAGACTGATTAAACAATCCTTTAAAACGCATCATTACAGCTATATTTCTTGGTGTGAATAGTCTAAGTGCACTTAAACAGTGGAATTATTACAACACTAATGGGGAATAATAAAATAAGTTGTTGAAGTTAGCTTGAGCTCCAACAAAATGATTCCCCAACAATTATTTCAACTTTATAGTTATTGCCTTTGGCTTGAATGGTTCTTAACGCACTTAATCACTAGGATTACGCCAGTCATAACAAGCGATATGAGAATAATCCACGTGTAAGTTAGCCGGAGCTCTCGTGCGATAAATCCGTCAGAGTGGAGATTCTTCTAATTTGGGCTCTGATCATTTGTTTTGGGTTTTAGGGCTCAAAACAAACTAATTCCCTTGGAATGGAAAGGTAACGCTATTTGCACAGCTGATATTACGGATTAGGAGTGAGTACGAGCGCAACAGATTGTTTGTCCAGTGTCTGGTCAATGAAAGTGGAAGCGTGCTTGTTTGCTCTAGGAGAGTTAAGCCTGGGCACACATGCCGTCACCAACAAACAAGGGATTGAGCACCAAGCCATTAAATAATTACAAATGCCTGCTTCTAACGGACAAGGCATCCACAAGGCCATGGCTGAAATCTCGTAGTGCTGCCCGCCACCGTAAAGTCATAGATTACAACTTTCCTTGACAAATCCATACCTAGAGTGGGATTTATTTGCAGAGTCTGCACTGTGCTTTGGCAGTTATAGGCAAATTCTGCTCTCCCGGGCGTCCTCCCAATGGCTTTGATTAAATGGTATTATATCGTGTTTGTCGGCACTGAAGCGCAAGGTACAGGCTTAGATGAAATGCTGTTTGAATTCCGCACAAGCTCTTTTTCTCCCACATGTGATATTAATGTGCCATGTAATAGACAAATAAACCCATAGAGAAGGGCACTGATGTGAAATGTGCTTTCTAAGATACCCCAGGTTGGACGGATGGTTCAATGAGAAGGCAACTTGGAGCTTGGAGACCATAGCGATGACAGGCAATTCACATACTCTGATACCGGATGTTATACAAGAGCCTATATTTAGAACAAAATAGTCCTTTACAAGCTGCTGAGTTTGTAAGATGGCTTAGAAATGATATAGAATTCAGACTAATGGATAATTAGTGTTGATTTGAACAAACTGCTTGTGCTACAAGCATGAAGGATAGAACAAATTATGGGGCTTGTTGAAGACAGGTGTGTTATTACTTTGAGTCACTCCAAATACATCATCCACTTGTTGTCTGGAACAAATTGTCTTGTTGAGCTCAACAATTTCTGTGAGCAATTTTTGAATTAAGGCCCTTTCCCACTTTTATTAAACCTATGCTGATATGGTGCAACACCATTTATTCATACTTGTCATGTAACTTTAAGTGTAAACCTTCATCCCCTACAGATCCCCTGTTCATGTACAAATCACAAGGAAACAAGTCCTGTGACTTTGCTTTATTGGCTGTTACAGTTAAAGCATTATTGTAAATGGTTTAATAAATAAATATGTATAAAGTATTTAGGCTTTTTTTAAAGTGAGCTACCCTAATATTTTTCTTGCCAATTGTGTCAATATCCCATTAAATAAAAATGTATGTATATATATATATATATATATATATATATATATATATATATATATATATATATATATATATATATATATATATATTTTTTTTTTTTTTTTTTTTTTTTTTCCGGCTTGAATAAAAAAAAAGAAAATATTAAAAAAACTATTAGCCCCTTTACGCTATATTTTTTCATAGTCTACAGAACAAACCATCGCTTTACAATAACTTGCCTAATTACCTTAACCTGCCTGCCTAGTTAATTAATTAACCTAGTTAAAATGTCACTTAAAAAATAATAATAAAAAAAAATATATATATATATATATATATATATATATATATATATATATATATATATATATATATATATATATATATATCCAAGTTTTAGGAACAAAAAATTATAATTTGACTTCTAGTCGATCATTTGGTATCACGAGTGGCTTATATGAAAGGCAAATGCCTCTAGATTACAGTTATTTTACCAAAATAAAATATGATCATGCCTTGATTTTTTTAATATTTAATTAGGACAGTAAGGTACAAAAGTATTGTCACTTAACAGATATAATGTCCAGTACAGGATATCAAATCATGGGGCAGTGAAAAAAAAATTATATTATGTATGACTTCGAGGATTGCATCCATATGTCTCTGCAATGACTCTTATTAATTAATAAAGTCATCTGGAATGGCAAAGAAAGCATTTTTCGCAGGACTCCCTGAGTTCATTAAGATTCTTGGGATTCATTTTCAATGCATTCTTCTTCATTTTACACCAGACATGCTCAATAAGGTTTATGTCTGATGACTGGGCTGGCCAATCCTGGAGCACCTTCTTTGCTTTCAGGAACTTTGATGTGGAGGCTGAAGTATGAGAAGGAGCGCTATCCTGCTGAAGAATTTGCCCTCTGCTGTAGTTTGTAATGTAATGGGCAGCACAAATGTCTTGATACCTCAGGCTGTTGATGTTGCCTTCCACTCTGCAGATCTCTTGCGCACCCCTATTCGTAAGAATGTGTATATAACACCATCCATGACAATAGCATTCTAATGATCATTTGCTAAATTTGGTCAGACTGATTAGTCACTCCAACAAATTTGATTTAATATTTTGGCAGTGCTGTCGTCCTGCTCTTACATACCCCATGAAAAAAAATAATTTTGCAATATTTATATTCAGATTTTTTAAAACTAAATTATATTACATTTCCAAAAATAAAAAAATAAAAAATAAATAAATAAATTCATATTTCCAACAATACTGCTCCAGAGCTGGAAATTGTTGGTAATTTTTTACTAACTTTTTTTTAATTCATAATCCATGACCAGGCCGTATCCTGAGCTGATTCTGTGGTGGTTATCGAGGAGTATAGAGCATAAAACTGATTCCTGAAAGACCCCAGTGACAGATGAGTCTCCGCATTGATCCTGTGGGCCAGCCTGAACACCCACTGATGACCTACTCACACCTGTATCTTCTCCACACTGGATGACCAGCGTTCTCCAGCCTCTGGCCCCTAGACTGCAGCTCTGCACAAGAAGATTGACCAGAGGAGAAATGGTCAAGCTCAGCTCAGCCTGGTTTCTCTTAAAGTTTTTTCCTTCACTTTAGTCAATTAGTGAAGTTTGTTGCTTGCCACTGTCACCACTTGCTCGTTTGGTTTGTGAGTTGTGGAGCTGCACATTGATGGATTTGGTCAGTGTTTGGACTTTCAGCTGTGAAATTTAAACCACACTAAACTGAAATAAACTGAACTTCAACTTTGAAAACTGGACTGACACAGTTTCAATTTACTAGATCTTCTATGTTAAGCTGCTTTGACACAATTTACATTGTAAAAGTGCTAAATAAATGAATAAATGCACTCTATAGCAACTGCATATCCATGCCCTAGCAAGCCCCACAGTTTAATGACAGTGATGTAAGTGACGCTCCACTCACATTTCTTCCAGAAAAATGAAGAATTAAAAACAAGTATTACGCTTTAATGATGCGTGAGGTTGTCTTTTTTTCCCCTTGATTTTCCACAGCTGACAGAAATTCAGACTGGCACAGTCGGTCCTTCTTATCTCCCCGTTTCATTCTGACGTGAACCGCACACTGATAAAATGTGATCTCATTAAATAACAAACAGGCGAGAAAAACAAAAAGGAAGGAAAAAGCACAACAAAGGTAGCGCTAAGGAGTAGCTGTCTACAAAGTTACGCTAGGAGATTCAAACAACGCTAAACTTTAAAAAGTTGTTGTTTTTTTTTTCATCATGTCAAATATTCCTAGCGACTAATTGATAAGCGATGAGAAAATAAACAATGCTGATGACAAACAGTTTCTTTGAGTTTATTTTTCTTTTAATGCAGGTTAATTTATGCTTTTTGCTGTTATTCAAAGACTTGGAGGATTAATTAGCACAGAACGGTTGATAGCTCGTTGCATTCTCTGTCAGCGTCCGCCATCTGTAGCGGCGTGCTGATTAATGAACAGGTGCGTTCAGATGTGCTTTCATCAGGCTTGCTGAGACAGGCGACTCACACCTCCTAATCTGCTGCTGGCGGCGGTACAGAACTCCCATTTGCTCTTCACCCCGCCGCAAAACAATAAATCCCATTTTCTTTTCTCTCAAACGACAAAATAAAGTCCTTCTTAGTGTTAAATGTGATTTAATGATCATCAAAGATATAATGATTCATAACTCAATGTTAGGTTAAAGAGCAGGCTGATGTACACTGAAAAAAAGCGAATCATTGGATTTACAATTTTTTTAAAGGTACTTTATGTACGTTTTTGACTCTTCTAAAGCTTAACAAAACCATAATATGTTTGCAGATATTTAAGAAACATGCCAAGTGAACATTCTGTTATTCTGAAAACAATGCTAAAGTCAGACATTCTGCTTTGAAAATGCGAGTTACGTGCCAGAACGGCTGTCTTTGTTTTGGTCATTTAACCCACCCAATGCCACTTTAGCCAGTTGTACTTATGCACCTTTATGGAAAACAGCACATTACATTCATTTAGTCAGAAAGGCTGTCAAAGTATGCTTCCGTGACCCAAATTCGACCTCTGCTGGACACTAACAGCCCCAAAATGAGACACCGATACAGAGTTCCAAACGAGGTGGTTGTTACTTACAAACATTTGGTGAGGAGGTTACATTGTAACCCTGTGTCCTAACAACACTACGTGAGGAGATATGCAGTGATAAGCAATTGGACTGTTTGCACAAGATCAATCAACAGAATTTAAAATACAGCCATTCAGAAGCCCAGAATAGTGCACTCTCTGCACTTCAACAAAATGGAAAGGTTTATAATCGAATTAATACATATTAAACCTCTTTAATATTTTTTTGAGCTTCAAAGTTTTGGTAGTAATCAGCATTGCACATCAGAAACTTATGAATGGAGGCTGATCAAATTCTCATCTCTAATATATGCAGGAGTCTCGAGAGTGGACACTGCACTATTTAAGCAATAAAGTGCATCCAGGCGGTTGTTATTGCACAATAGCGCTCCTCAGGACTATCGGTAGTATTATCACTTGGGGTCTTTTGTATTTTTGTCTTTTTTTTTCAGATGATCTGAATTATTACATTACGAATCCACCAGAGGCTGCTGTGTACGCTTTTTCATATCTCAAATTTCTCTTGTGAGTGCCACTCGCAACTGCTGTTCTCACATAAATCCACTAGAGGCTGCTGTTGACTGACTGACTGACCAATCGATTGACCCACCCTCCACCTTCTCCAAACCCAACCAACAGAGTTTTCAAAAGCAAACCAGAAAAAGAAAAGCCCTCTCTGCAGCCTGATTTTTACCACGTTTTCAGAATTTAACACATTCTCGCCCTGTTATGTACTTATTTTGTTTTTTTGGCCTTACCTGCTTTCCAGAACTGTTGTTCGCCAGACTCAAACCTCTTGTCGTGGAAAGCAGGAAAGTCGTCTATACGCAAGTAAGCGGTCAGCTGGTAAGCACAAAAGGAAGAGCAACATACCGCCCAGAAGCGTTCGTTTAAAAGACGAAACGGCTCTGGCTACACAATTAGCAATCTCCAGAAACGTATATAGCACTTTTCAGAATAAGCCTATGTTGAAAAAAAAAAACCTATATACCTGTAAAGTGGTGTAGGTTTTTCAGCACGCAAATTCACAAAACAATGGATTTTCTTAACGTTAAGACAAGAAATTCATTCTGCATGTTTCATATTCAAGTTTATTTTAGGGTGCTTTCACACCTAGACTTTTGTTTCGGAACGTATCTCGTTTGCCCAGTTAGCGCGGTTCGTTTGGCATATGTGAACAGGGCAATCGCGCTCTGTTCCGCGCCAAAGTAATCGCTCCGAGATCGCTTGAATGAGATGGTCTCGGCTCGATTGAAACGAACCCTGGAGCGGTTCGATTGCAGTGAGAGAGCGATCCGATCCGAGCTCGGTTATATCACAGTGTTTTATGGATATGTAATAGGCATACGGCTATATGAAGAGAGAATTATGAGTAGGGCGGGAAGTTTCACGAATCTCCGGATGCCCGCAAACGAGTGATGATCTCCCGGTAATCTCGCGTCTCCCTCCCGGTCCTCAAATAGGCATCGTCGCGCACCCTTCTCACCCCTCCCCACCGCGTCTCTCCTCAGACACGTCGCTCACGCGCACCCTGTCAATCACCACCAAACCACCACCTCTCCTGACAGCTGAGCGGGATGCTGCAAAATAAACCCTGACACTCTGACCAATGTGAGGAGAGTTTACTCGCTTGTGACTTGTTTTAGCTCTTTTGGTCCGATTGGAAACTTTGCAGTGTGAAAGCGAACCGCTCCAAGAGCAAAGAGCAACAATGTAACATTTGTAATCTCTGTTTCGGAACAACTGAATCGATTCACAGGTGTGAAAGCACCCTTAAAGTAATGCCACTGTGGTGTGGACCATTGCTCTTCATATTTTATTTGTTGATTTATTGATTTATTGTGTATGATTCAATACTGTTGCTCTCTTTTTTATAGGGCTTCTGCAAAGCATTGAAAAGTCTTAAAAAAAGAGCTTGTGACTAATCTTTGTAATGCTGTTGGATTTCCATTACCCCATCCACTTCAATTGTGGTCTTGTTTAGCTTAAATATATGTCTCCAACACTAGATGAGCATCTGAATTCAGTGCAACAACTGTTTTGCTGTAATTATGAATATACACAAATACAAGTAGACACTTTACGGCTTTCTTTAAAAATAATGGGGTAATTTTAGTCATTTTATTTATTCTCTCTCTCTCTCTCTCTCTCTCTCTCTTTCTCTCTCTCAGTCGCTCAGTTCAATTCAATTCAATTCAATTCAATTCAATTCAATTCAATTCAATTCAATTCAATAGTTGCTTTATTGGCATGACAATTGTTACAAATGTATTGCCAAAGCAGTTATAAAGTAACAAACATATATAATAATAAAAAAAAAACAGTACACACAGTAAGTAGTAGTAGTAAAATAAATAAATAAATAAATACATAAATAAATAAAAAAATAAAAATAAAAAAGTCTCTCACTCTCTCTCTCTCTGTACAAAAAGTTAATAAAACGTTTGACAATGTTGTTCCATTCAGTTTTAACATTTATGATAAGGATAAAAATTCGGGTCAACTATTCAAACAACTGTTCTGCGAGTTGCAAACGAGGGCCCCTAATAATATCTCTGGGAGCCCAAAAAAATTGCGTGGGCCCTTAGAATAGTCCTAACTTCCCCACCCCAGCAGCGGCCCTGACTATTACTTCAAATAATATTACTATTACTACTACTACTACTACAACAATTGCTACTACTACTACTATTACTACTATTATTGCTATTACTACTACTACTATTACTACTAATACTACTATTACTATTACCACTACTACTACTACTTGTACTAATAATATTACTATTACTACTACTATTACTACTATATAGCAGAAGTAGCAGTAGTAATAGTAGTAGTTTCTTAAGCGTATTAGTACTATAACTACCACTGCTAAAACTTTTACTACTTCTACTACTACTACTACTAATAATAATATAATAAAAATAATTTACAGCATTTATAATAATATTCTATTATTAATTTAAAACTCTATTTTGATTACTTAGCACATTTTTGCATACTCTCAATTCACAAGTGATAATTTGCGTACTAGATTTTCAAAACATAACACGTTTTGTTTGCTTAAACCAATTAATCACAAGCCCTTAATTGATGTATTTAAAATTGGCTGTCATATAAAAAAAATAAAATAAAAGAACGTTTTGAAACTGTAAAAAAAAACAAAAAAAACAACCCCCCCCCCAAAAAAAAACAAAAAAAACAAGAAACCTCAAGAAACTGCATAAAAGTTAGCACAAAGTAGACTTTTTTGACAAACAACTCACTAAACCAGATGTTAAGTGAGACAAAATACTTTTTGTGAAGATGAAGTATATGTGTGCACATCTGCAAACAGATGATGTGTTTTTAAACTGAAGTGTGGCTGCAGCCCATTAATGGGGGAAGTTTTAATTGATCCAGCGCAGGTGTTTGTTCAGGCAGCTCAGTGCTGTAGGTTAGCATATCTTGCTTCTAATTAGCTATGGGATTTCATGTCTTTCTGTTCAGTTCTTAAAGCTTGGATGCTATTATAATGCATACATTAACATGCTATCTCTTGCTTTATGGGTTTCTGTGCTCGTATAGCAAGTTTTTACTCACATTATTCAAAGTGTAAATGTTTTATAG